ATCCTCAGCTCTTCGAAGGCTGAAAACAGGAGGATCACTGTGAGTCAGATCTGTGTAGTGAGACCCTGCAGACCTTATATTAAATACATAAAAAAGACAAAAAAAAAAAAGGCATATGAAATGAATGGACACTTCTCAAATGAAGTACAAACAGCAAATAAATATATGAAAAAATGTTAAATATCTCTGATCATTAGAGATACAAATTAAAACAATCCTGAGATTTCATCTCCCTCCACAAAGAATGGCTATCATAAAGAAATCAACCAAGAATAACATATGCTGGAAGGGCTGTGGGGGAAAAAGAACCCTTCTCCACTGTTGGTGGGAGTGTAGACTGGTGCAACTACTGTCCTCAATGAACTAAAACCAGACGCTCCATTAGACCCAGCTATTCCCTTTCTTGGTATGTTCTTTAAAGAATCAAAAGCATCCTACCACAGCAATATATGCATACCCATGTTTATAGTGGCAGATTGTAATAACTACATCTTGTGAACAGCCCAAATGCCCATCAACTGATAAAGAAAAAGAAGACGTGGACTTTTTTTTTTTTTTTTTAATACAATGAATACTACTCAGCCAAAGAAGGATAAGCTTGAGACATTTCTAGCTAAATAGATGCATCTGGAGACCACACTGGAGTGAAAAATTGAACGTATATCTATAAATACCATATTATTTCTCTGGTATGAGAATCCAAAAGTATAAATGAGGACCGAAATGTATCATAGATATTGTGAAACAGGAAGAAAATGTTCAAATGAGAAGCAGAATTAGAGGGGGGATGGCAAAGGAAGGCAAAAGGAAAAATATGGGAAAAGGAAAAATAGAAACAAAGGTTTTGTAATGGGGGGAGGAGGAGGAGTTGAAGGGAGGTAGGGGAATGAGGGGGAAAAAAGAATTGAGCTTTAGCATGTACAGGTACAAATTCCTTACAATGAATGCGAATATATTTTCCCCGCAACTACTGGAAATTGAACGCAGGACCTTGTGCTTGCCTGCCAGGCAGACACTCTGTCACTGAGCTATATCCCTGACCCAATATAAAAAAAATTTTACAAAAAGAAACAACTTCTAACTCACAAAGCTCCAGTCCGCTCAAACATATACCTATTCCATATCAATCATGTTCCCTGTGCTTTTGATACAAAGATGAAACAGGTAAAACAAACTGTGCTTTTAGGGAACTCAGCATGCAATGGACAATTATACAATGCTAGGTCTCAATTCTGATTGCACCACTTTGCTGAATGGCTGGAGGCAATTGGTAAATTCTCTGATACTCCTAATGTCCTTAGTTACAGTTATTTTGAAGCGCCCAGGGATCAAACTCTGGGCTGCGGGCATGCCAGGGTAGCACTTCACCATTAAGCTACAGCTCTGTCTAACTCCCCAGTCTCCTAAGCTCTTCTGTGAATGTATCAGTTGGTGAACTCACTGTTTTTTGATTTTTTTTTTTTTTTTTTTGCGGAACTGGGGATTGAACTTAGGCCCTTGCGCTTGCCAGGGAAGCGCTTATTCCTCATTCCTCTGAGCCATCTCCCTGGCCCCCGATTTATTTTTTGTTTCTTTTTCTTTTCTTTTTTTTTTTTTTGGCAGAACCAGGGGTTGAACTCAGGCCCTCTACTGAGCTATCTTCCCAGCCCGGTGAACTCACTGTTGAATGAATATCACAGTGTACCAAAAGCAGATAGTACAAGTCAGTCACCTGAAGTGGCCTCTTGAAATGAGGCACAGAAACACAAGAATCAGGAAACTGGTGCTGTTTCACCATAACCCTTTTCTTACACTGTTACCAAGTAACACCGAGAAGTACAGTATAGTAAATACATATGCCAGTAATGGGGTCACTGAAAGTATCATTTATCTCATTAGCTAATCAAGTATGCTTGCTATTTGCTCTAGCATCATACAAAAGAATTTCACTACTAGGTCAGATGGTTAGGACACTGTCAACAACAGTTTCTCAGCTCCAAAATAATGTTTTTCACTTTTCTTTTGGGATCATAGGGCTTGAACTCAGGGCCTTCACCCTGTGCGATATCATACCAGCCCTTTGTATTTTCAAACTTTTATTTTGAGACAAGCCCTAAATTCCTAACTTTCCCAGGTTGGGTTTAAACTTGGTTTTTTTTTTTTGTTGTTGCTGCTGCTTTCAATGTATGTAGTACAGGGGCTCCAGGGTCTCACTACAGATTAGACGCGTAGTGATCTTCCTATCTTCAGCCTCCCAAGTGCTGGGATTACAGGCGCACCACCACTTCCAGTCTCAACTGCTGTTCCAGAGTGCCCCAGAGGCGGGGTCAGCACAGCATGCTGGGGGATTGAAATCTGGCATGCTCTCTGCCTAAGCAGGCAGCTTTAGTCCTGCTGAGCTATCTGGCTGTAGGCTCAAACTTGTGATCCTTCTGCCTCAGCCTCCCACCACACATGTTCTAGTCATTTTAATGAACCACAATCATACATGCAGTTCACTGTTGACTAAAACATTACTGTGCAGGGCATGACTATAAAAGACACAGTGCCTATATCTAATGATACAACCATTCATATAAACATAGTTTGGCATCTTACGAAGGTTGACAAAAACATGCATATAGCAGTGCATGGTGGTGTACACCCATTATCCCAGAAGTTGGGAGGCTGAGGCAAGCGGATCTCTGCAAATTCAAGGTTGCACAGTGAGTTCAAGGTGAGCTTGAAACCCGAGAGAGAGAGAGAGAGAGAGAGAGAGAGAGAGAGAGAGAGAGAGAGAGAGAAACAATTCATGTAGCCTGGGAGAAGGAAAACAAAGAGGACTAGGATCAAGAGTTTTGTTTTTTAACCAGGTAGGGTCAGGTTTTGAAAGGGAAAATGTGTGGGAATTTATCAACCAAAATATGTAGAAATAAGCTAGGCATGGCAATGTACTTCCATAACCCCAGCATTCAGGAGGCTGAGCCAGGAGGATCCTGTGAATTCAAGGCCATCCTGGAATATACAGTGAGTTCAGGGGCAGCCTGGACTACACAGTGAGACCCTGTCTCAAAAAAGCCAAAACAGCTGGGTGTGGTGGCTCATACCTGTAATCCTAGCACTCAAGAGGCTGAGGCAGGAGAACTAGCCTGGGCTACAAAGTGAGCTCACAGCCAGCCTGAACTACTTAGTGAGACCCTATTTCTTTTTTTTTCCCCCCAATTTCAAAAAGACAAAAAACAAACAAACAAACAAACAAACAAACAAAAAATCAATAAATACAAAGACATACAAGCAGATTCCATGTGGGAAGAATAGTGCACAAAGACAGAGACACGACACATCCCAGAAAGAACAACTAACTGGAGAACGGTGGATGGAAACCTTGGGTAGGGGCCAAGGCACTGAAGTATGGGACCTGAGGGCCAAGGGCTGGGCCAGAGCGCAGGGCCAGAAGCAGCAGGAAGAGGAAGAAAGTTTCGCTGGGAGTGCAGACAGGCTGCCAACCAGACCAGACCAGACAGCAGGGAGGGCGCGGGGTCACTGACCTCGTGAAATAGGGATGAAAAGGGAACAGACTCTAGAAGCCCCCGGGGCCCCACGGGGGAGCGGTACCGCCTGGGTGCCCTGGCCCCCACCTGATATTGTCAACCCAGCAGTCAATGATGACCGGCAGCAGAAGTTCAAGGTTCAGCCACAGTGTGAAGTAGCTATCAGTCTTTTTGAAGCAAAGGTAGTGCATAACCGTCGGCTTGTCCAGTTTTGCTTCCAGCTGGTTGCCCAAATCACCTGGCACTGCAGGGGAACAAAGGACAAGTGTCAGTGCTGGCCCTGGCAGGCTAGAGCCCCCAGAATCCTCAGATGATTCCCAGCCAAGGATACCCTGGGAGACCTTGCAGCTCCACCCTGAAAATTAAAACATGGTGCCAAGGGCAGAAAAATTAGAGGGTAGGGACCCTGACACAGGTCAGGGCACCATCTTCAAGCAGAAAAGCTAATGCTGTAGGGTGCAGAATAATTAATGAGAAGGAAGCCTGGGGGCAACATTCTGCAGGGGGCTTGGGAGAACCTAGTATTTCAGCAAAGGTCCCTAACACTATTTCCAGATCCAGAGAAAAAAACTGCTGGGCTGGGGGCATACACCTGTAATACTAGCACTCCGGAAGACTAGGGCAGAAGGATTGCCACAAATGAGGCCAGCCTGGGCCATGTAGTGAGCTCAAGGCCAGCCTCAACAGCAGAGTGGAGACACTGTTTCAAAAACAAATAAACAGCCCACTACAGCTAAATCTGCACCGAAACACTGTCCTGGGCCATTGAGATTACTGGAAGGAAGACTGGGCGTGGTGGTGCACGCCTGTAATCCCACCACTTGGGAAGCTGATAACAGGAGGATCACTACAAATCCAATCTGTGTAGTGAGACCCTGCAGACCCTGTACTAAATACATTTGAAAGAGAGAGAGATTATTGGAAGGGGTTCCGGATGAAGCCACTTCCCCTCCGGAGGCTTCAGTTACTTTATCTGTCAAATGAGATCTCAGCCTGAATCAGCTTCACAAACACATATGGTTTCTTTGCTTAACAGACCCAGAGGAGAGCTCTGACTAGGAGGGGGAGACACCTCCAGGTTTTTCAGAGCCCCTGTTTGTCCAGAACTACAAACCTGACATTAGCTATATACCTTAAGAGGATTGACCCAAAGGCTTTGTACCCACAGCCATTCCAAACAACAATAAATAAAGACAAGACCTTATTCACCCTGAGAAAGGAAGTGGGAACAGGACCAAGTGTTGGGCCACTGAACAAGGGGGCACTGAATCCAGAGAAAGTATTCTTGTACAGACTTGTGGGTGGGAGAGACCCTGAAGAGAAGGATTGCCACAAATGAGGAGATAAGAAGATTAAATTGCTACCTGCCAGCTACCAAGGTCCCCAGGACTTGCTGACCACCGCAGCTCAGTAAGGCTCTAGAAGGCATTTGATATAGCGACTATGACCCAACAAGTCACAAGCCCTATAGGGGTGGGTGGGACCAGACCGAAAGGACTTCACTGCGGCTGTCTACAAAGCTCTGGGCCCTATGATGCACACACCAACCCCGCTACTTCATTATCTAGCCTTCAAAACCCTTCATTGTCTAGTTACTCCCATTAATCTTTTAGGCTTACCTACCCCACAAACCAGGCCCTTGAAACTCACACACAGACCCATTCGTGATCTATGATTGTAGTCAGGCGTGGTGGTGCACACCCATAATCCCAGAACTTGTAAGGCTGAGGTAGGAAGATTGTGTGAGTTCAAAGCTAGCCTTGAGAGGCCAGGGAGATGGCTCAGTGGAATAAGAGCTTCCTCAGCAAGTCCAAGGGCCTGAGTTCAATCCCCAGTTCCGCCAAAACAAACAACAAAAAACTGGCCTCGCCTACTTAGGGAGACTCTTGTCTCAAAACCTCCCCACCCCCGCAAGATCCATGAACACTTGGCAAACACCTACCAGGGCATGTACTGAGCACCACCAGTGTTTAGGGCGGCACAGGAAGCAAGAGTAGTACTTACCCTCAACTCCTTTCATGATGTGAGGACAGAGGCTGCAGTGCCCAGCATGATAGTTTCTGGGTCACATGCCTATGCATTGGGCGGCTCACTGTCTCTATCAAAGAGGAAACATATGTAATGGGAAGTCACAAGACCTGCTTTACCAGATACCCTTGACCTGGTCAGGGCCCCTAAAAATAACAGTGGCCCTATCTGGGGTCCTCTGTATCTAGAGGTAGGACAAAGACTGATCTGGGTCTTCTAACTTATTTAACCCTGAAATGAGACTGAGGCTGGGAGAAGCAGAAATGGCCTGCCTACAATCCCTTTGCCCTGCTCAGGGCTACCTGTGGCTTTTGCCTCTTTCACCAATTCAGTACCTACCCCTAAAGAATTTTTGTTCTTTCAGACAGAGTCTCTCAGGCTGGGGCTAGGGAGATAGCTCAGCAGCATAAGTGCCTGCCTCACAAGTATGAGGTAAATCTCCAGGACCACAAAAAAAAGTTCAGGCCAGCCTCGAACTCACTGTGTAGCATAGGTTGGCCTCAAATGCACAATGACTCTCCTGCCTCCAGAATGCTAGATTCCAGGTATGTACCACCAGGCCCAGCCCCTATAAGGATTTTGATCCTCAAAATGAGAAACCTTGGCCAGGGATGTAGCTCAGTGGCACAGTGCCTGCTTGCGTAGCACAAGGTCTTGCATTCAATTCCCAGTACCAAAAGAAAAAGAGAGAGAAAGAAAGAGAGTGAGAGAGAGAGAAATGTTCTGTGCCTAGGAGTAGTTTGTTCACTGCCCACCATGGGGGTTTCTGAATTCACACTAAACAACCTTACTCTCAGAGAAGATGAGATGGGCAGGTAAGGATTCCAGTCGTTCAGGCTCCGCTGCTGCAACCTAGGGTAGCCATGGACTGGTGGAACTGATTAATTCAGTTAGCACCAATCCTGGCAAAAAGGCTGTGTGAAGTCTTTCCCAGTATCACTCCTCTCCTACTCAGAACTCCTCAGGCCCACACATTGCTTCTTGTGACCCTTCCAGGGTAAAGTCCAGATGACCCAACAAGTCACAAGCTCGGCACAATTCACCCCTCACAGCACTCCACTCCCGCCTGGCGAAACCATTTACCTCTCACCTAATGCGTAGTTCCCTGTCTGCCCTTAGTTTCAGATTAAGGAAGCCCCTTCATACTCACTCACCCAGACTGGCTCAGTGGATTCTGCTTCCCAGTACATACTTCACCTCCCAGGACAACTGTTAAGTTTTAACCTAGAAGCCTGCAGAGGCAAGGCAAAATCTGCACATATCCAAGGTCAACCTGGGCCTAGAATCCCTCTTGGTCATTGATTTCTTCATCCAGAACTCCTACTAGGGCCTCCCAGGACCACTCTGGCAACCCTACCCTTTGTGGTCTGCATCATCCCCACTTAAATACTCCCAACAGAAAGAATATGGGGAGGACCCTTGCAGCAGACTCCTTATGCAGCTGCTCTTGGGAGTGGCTGACTACCAACACAGCAGCTCTGTTGGAAGGTATGGGGTGAAGGAGGCACCTAAGACTCCCCAGACAGGTCTCACCCTGGCCCACCAGCACAAGGAAGCCCAGTGGCTCCTGCGCAGTTGGCAGGTCTGGAACCACGGAGGATTGGGCAGAGGAGATTACCTCACTCCAACATAACTTGGTCTAATTAGGGTTGGTAGGGGTGAAAAAGTATGCACACTCCTTGACACCTGCTGATGTTTGCTGTCCCAACACTTTCCCTTGTCTTTAGCCATCCTTTTTTTCAGTAGGTTTTCTCCCTCAGGCCCAATGTCACCCACCTAAGTTGAGGATGAGATGGATGGAAGGTTGGTGGCCAGCTCTGGGGAACTACCAATTCTTTCCCCCAGAGGCTGGTACTTCCAATAATGCCCTCTAAAACATGGAAGAACACATTGGGCAGGAAGTGCAGAGGATGACAGCCTCCCTAGTTAGTCCCCAAGTCGGTGTGAAGAACAACTCAAGAGACCACCCTGCCCACCCTCATCAATCCTCCAGAGAGTAGGGTTCAATGGCCTCAGTCTTACCAGCTAAAAAATGGGGATATGACAAGGCATAAGGCATAGCTTGATGTAAAAAGGTGGAGTGGAGGCTGAGCAGAATGGGGCACACTTGTAATCCCAGCACTCTGGTGGCTGAGGCAGGAGGATGGCAGGGAGTTCAAGGCCAGTTTGAACACATAGTGAGTTCAAGGCCAGCCTGACTTACACACATGTGAGACCCTGTCTCAAAACAAAAAACAAAACAAAACAACCCCCCCTAAAAAAAAACAAGGTGAAGTTCACAACCATCCAGTAATCCTTCCACACCCATCTTTTACAAGGGTCAGGTGCTAGGAGGCTGGCCACACCCGCGTTCAGCATGGGGGGGAGGGCAGTGGAGGGACATACCCGGGTGACAAACCCGGACGGACATCAAGACATTCCTACGTTCCGTGCTTAACACAGAAGCAAATGAGAAGACCGCCCTACCCTGCTCCCAGTCCCGTCGACCGACCCACTACGAGCTACGAGACGCGCGTCTCACCGAGCACCACTGGGGGGTGACGCTGTGCAGGGAGCGCCGGGTCTGCGAGCAGCATTAGTAGCAGCAGAAGAAACAAGTGGCCCCTCGGGAGCACGGCCACGCGGCAGGGGCAGAGGATCCTGTCCATGGCGTTCGATCGCGGCAGCAGGCACGACGCTCAGGCTCACCGCTCCCAGCCAGCACCCAAGCCAGGGTGACTGCGACGTGCTTTTAACCCCATCGCCAGCGCCCCGCAGACGCTAGCAGCCGCCCGGCCGGTAAAGACCCGCCTCCCGCACGCGGCCTGCCAATAGGGTCTCGGCCCCAGCACGTCTCTCCCATCTGAGCTCATCCCCCCCGCCCTCGCCCACCCCGCGGGCCTGGTGCCCCAGTCGCGTTGCTCGCCGAGCGTATCGATCGGCCGACGTCGGCGCTCGGCCGCTCAGGACCCAACTAAGGCTCCTGGTACCCGAGGTCCGCTCTGCGCACCTCTAGCTCGGATTCCTGGCGCCTCCCTGGCCAGGAGGATCTTAGCAGAGGGGACAATCGGGGGCCTGAGTTAGCGGTGGCTGAGTAACATTTGTCAAAGCAAAAAGCAAAATGAAGAGAAGAGGTAATCTTTGGGCCTTGAGCAACACTTGACCAGGACCTTCTTGGAACCCACTAAATCTGTCACCCCTCGGGCGCCTACCTACAGCCACACATGGCTGTCGATCTACACACACTGCCTTGAAGTTAGGGATACAAGTCAGCCTGTACTTGACACTGCAAAACAGAACTTTTTTTTTTTTTTTTAAATGGCCAGTTAGATTTTATGTTTGGTTTTTTTTGTCTTTTTGAGACAGGATCTCCCTTCTCCCTATGTAGCTGAGGCTGGCCTTGAGCTCACTTGTTATGGGTCACTCAGAATAGGAACTAGATCAGCCAGGTTGGAACTTGGAAAGCCGTTTATTACTGAACTCAGGGCCC